CCTCAGCAAGGAAGAAGACAGTGGCGGACATACTCATCCTGAGTACGGGGGTCCGTCACGGGGGGGTTGTAGTTTGTGGGAGGGGGGGGGCCCATGCACAACTTTGCTATGGGGCCCTGTGATTTCTAGTTATGCCCCTGTTTAGTTATTTTCAGTGGTATGATTTAGTGGTGAAAATTATTAGTGCCCCCCCATTTTGACTGTGGTATCTTATGTGCCCCCCCTATATATTGTTCCTAGAGTCGCCACTGGTTACAACTCCTGTCAGCTTTTTTGCCATTTGTTTTCCATTTAGGAGGTTTCCTTTCCCTCTCTGTACAATAGGAATGGAAAGGAAATCCCTCCAAAGTGAGGGAAATCCCAGTTAGTCAGCAGTCACCAGAACTTTTGTCCCCATTGGAAGATTTCCCATCTATTCCTGTTCTGGTAACAACACGAAATGGGGGATTATCTTTTACTTTAAGTAATAACAGTCACCAGGACAAACATGGAGGGTGAATCTCCCTAATGGAGACACAGATAGCAATAAAGACATGAATGGTGTTCTAATCCCTCTCCACTCTTTCTAAAACTAAAAACGGGGGTTTCAGTTGCACTTTAACCATGAGGGGAAGAAGCAGCAGAAGGAGGCAACCAGTGCTGGCATTGTGCATACTGATGGGAGGAAAAAGCAGAGTGACAGGGAGATGAGCTCATCCCTGTAATGCTTCTGTTTTAATTTCCTAGTCACAGGCTGGGGTCAGAGGAAGTGGGCTGAATTATGCTGACTATCAGATTAAGTGCACCTTGTGGTGTAAATTGAAAGTGAATATTGCATCAAAAGATGCTTTTTTTTGTATTGTTTAATGGGCTATTATTTTTTATCTTTATAGTTTTAGTTGGAGTTCTGCTTCAAATCATTTTGAAACATGATTTTGTTAGTCGTTTTATCTGTTAATTGTTACTGATTGTTATTTCCTGTGACCCCTCCTGCAGAGCAAAGGTTGCCAGCCAACTGCAATATACTACTTATGAATATTGGCAAGATGGTGGAGGATACAGGTAAGTGGATACAAGAGTAATGATAGCCACACACACACCGCAATTTGCATGCAATGTTAACATCTTTCAACCAGCTTGTGTCATCTGCAAATAAACTGAAGGTTGTTTTTACTATTAGCAACATGGCTGAAAGTGGTTGAAATTGTCCACAATTTCTGTGTGTATTGCCAGCTATAGAGGGGAAATCCTGAGCAGAGATGAAATTTGGTTCAGACTTTTAGGGCTGATATATAATAATTGATATATGATAATTTCAGGAAGCAGAAAAACCATGCACTTGCTTAAACCAACCAATCAATTCACCAACTTTACCAATTCACTTTAACTGGGTGATGGTAGTAACTCTTTGTGCTCACCTTTTATGAAGCAATCCTATTACTGTGGCTTCCTAAAACTTAAAAGTGACACTAAAATGTAGGAGCTTAATCTTAAAAATGCATTTATGTACCTTAACTATTAACAAAAACTACAATCTCAATGCAAATTAGTAAACTGAATGTGAGATTGTAGTCCATCATGGGAGCGAGCCTAAGGGCTGGCTACTTTACAACACACACAGGGACCATGGAGAACAAAAGTAGCCACCCTTCAGAAGGAAGGACAGTGTCAGCACCAATTCAGAGATGATTTGAGGATCTACAACCGAGTGATGCACAAATAAGATACATCTTTGTTAATAGTTAATGTATTTGAATGCATTTTCAAGATTTTAACTCCTGAGTTTAGTGCCACTTTAAGGGTCTATCTTTAAACAATTCACAGGGCCATTCATCCTACGAATATCTGTGAACATTTGCTCTGTGTAAATATGTGCCAAAACAAATGTTGTTTGGCTTTTTTCTTTACAAGCGGAATGAGTTTTCGAATGCTTTTGTAATATCGCATTATGGCCACTAGATAGAGCTAAAGAATGGAAAATATGTATTTATTTTGTATGGTCCTCAGCGCCATTTAGTGTCAGTGACCTGTAGTACCTTCCATGCTGGGTAAGGCATTCTCCATGCCCCGCCCCCAGGCCAACGACGCCCCATCACCCAACCCGGTCACTAAGCTATGTGTGGAGGAGGAAGGGAGGAGCCTCCCTATCCCTCACTTGGTCATCACTGGTGAGGCATCAAGATCGATGTCCTCAGTGGGTTTAAAAATTTTTTTTTTATTGGACAGCTTGGACCAATGGCGCTTTGCCATTGGGGAAGTCCGCTGCTGTGTAACCTAACTTAGCTGTCAAAAGCCGGATGCAGCGCCGTCTCTAATTAACAGGCAGCGCTCCATCCATGCCAGGTTACACAGCGGGGACGCTTTCCATGCTCTGTAACCTGTTACAAGCCACTCTAAATGGAGAAAAAGCTGTCAGCTTCAGACTTGAAGCTGACAGCTTTTTCCTCCATAATACTAGGTGAGGCTCTGCCTCACCTGCCTCCCCTCACCGCACGCCCCTGTGAAGTGGCCATAATACAATATTACATAAAAAGAATTAAAATACATTCCCTTGTAAAGAAACAAACTTCGGAGGTATTCAAAGGGCGAACGACCCTGCAAATTGTTTACAAATAGACCCTTATATTTCAGAGACTGCTGTCATCTGTTTAATTTTGTGGCGTATTGGCTTATAACAGGTGTATATGTATAGATCAGTATTTTCCCTGTATTTGACTAAATTATATTTGTTAATAAAAATCCTTAACCTTTTGTATTTACACATATGCACAGAAAACACAAAGCAACTGCATTCAGAAACTCTGTATATACTGTACACCAGAGGGTGGACAAATTTAATATGGATTTCAGGATCCAGTTTGTTCAATCCAGGAGCCGACAGGATTTTTGTTTTGGAGCCAGCTCTATTAACAACTACTAGAGAAAACCTCAAAGTTATGCTCCAGCTATCATTTAAAAAGAGTATTACATACCTGGCTCCTGGAAGGTGTCCAGCTCTTCTGTACACATCTGCCATCAGTTCACAGTCAAAAGATTGCTTTAGGCCCGGGTTGGCTTTATGGAAATTCTGGCATATACAGGTCACTGCAGGCTGGTTTAGATCAAGTGGGTTGCTCAGCCTCAGGAAGGTCTGTTATATTCTATTCAATTTTTCTTGAGCACATTCTAAGTACTGTACAGAGACAGCAATGGTTCCTATAGAAAATCATTATTCCCCCACCGAACCTAGCAAAGTGTTCTTAACCGTGGGCTGGTATACTTTATATACTAGAAATGTCTTATGGTTGCAGCCTGTCACTAATCTTCATTCTCTCACATTCTTTTTATTATGTTATTTTAGGCATAGAGAACTTTGGATTTCCATTACTGTGCAGAAGTTGCTCTGCTGCATTCTCTGAGCTCAGTCATGTGGATGAGAACAAGGTAACACAACAGTTCCATTTTTTTAAAAGTTCCTTTAAATAGTTCTTTTTACAGTATTTATAAATAGAAAATGTAATACATTGCAGCTGACGAGCCCTTAGATGTGGTGGCTGCATTAGTTTTCTTTTTTTACCAGGATATTTGTCTGCATTTGCACCTTGTGATCCTGTCTGTAGCACACTTCCAATAATAAAGTGACAATACAAACTCATTGTACTTGATCTGTAAAGAAGCAGCATTATAACCGTAGGCTGTGTGTGCCTTTTTTGGGCTACAGAACACCTCCCCCTCTTATTGTCCCCATAATATAGGGAGCAGGTGTTCTGTAGTTCCTGGGGGTAAACCGTGTATGGCTGATAACACTACTTGAGATAACACCACAGAGTGCACCAGACGGCACTTAATTTATGGCAGAGGTTTTTTTGCACTTATTGAACAGATATAATAAAACACCTTTCAATCATATATTTAAAGTGACACTAAACTCAGGCGTTTAAATAGTAAAAACGCATTCAAGTACCTTAACTATTCTGAAAAATGTATCTTATTTGTGTATCACTCAGCTGCATATCCCCAAATCATCTCTGAATTGGTGCTGACACTGTCCTTCCTTCTGCAGGGTGACTACTTTGGTTCACCGTGGTCCCTGTGCTGGATTACAATCTCACATTTAGTTTACTAATTTGTATTGAAATGTTATAGTCCATTGTGGGAGCAAAAATAAAAAAAAATAATCAAACAGATTCTTCCAAATCTGCTACTGGATGGGCATGCCACTGTTGGAATACCTGAGAGTTTAGCTGATTGTCTGCAGCCACTGTTTTGTCGAGCATTTTCCACCCAGCTTCCTTGATTTTCTGATCGGAGCAGAAGGCTGCCAACAGAGTCACCCATTGGGCAAATTTCGGCCAGTTCATGAAGAACCATCTGAAACTTGCTCAGTGTATGGCCATCTTAAATGGATGAAACTTCTATTTCATAATTATAAAGCTTTACACTGCCCTCTTGTGTTAGCATTTGGTAATTGCACTTTTCTTAGTAACTCCACTTCTTATACTTGCCAAGGAAAGGTCCATGCTTTGTTAATATATAATATATAATATTGCGTGTGAACTACTACCATAAGCAGCCCACTTGGCTACTATGGGGCCTTGAGTCAGAGAGCTGGGATAGGTGGTGGGTAACAGATTGCAGGCACATATGTGTGGTTTCCACACCAAACAGTATATGAAGATTTCCACTAGGCACAATGGATTCTTTAAAGCTTGTAAGAAGATTGTGGGGTGTGAATGTCAATTACAGAGTTTATATAAAGGAGAACTGCAGGTCAGGGAATTAAACAAAAATGTATGTAAAGCAGCCCAGATATTTACTAAAATACATGATATAACTGACTTCTTTTGAATGACTGTTGTGTAATATATAATCATTAGGCAGTGCTTTAACACAGTAAAACATGTTTTAATAAAAACTCAAACACTTTTTAATGGACTAAACTCTACTAAACATCTGTCTAATTTTCTTACTAGAGTTAGATATTCATTGATAATCATTTTCCATGCTTGTGGATGTTACAGATAACAGTTTCATGTTTTCTCTTGTATATAAAGTGGTAATCTCAGCTTTACAGCTTTATATTTCCATTGGCTTGGTTTTCTAGACTTGGACCTGTGATTTCTGTAGTACAGAAAACTCTGTCACTGAACACACAGAGTTGAGGTGTACAGGAGATGACCAGCTTTACCTGCAGGCAATGTCTGGAAATGTATACACCGCAGATGATGACACCATGCTAATATTTTGCATTGACATATCGGGGAGTATGAGTGTGACCATAGAGGTAAGTAACAAAGAGTCATATCATTCTGACAATCAGGGGAGACCTTAGGCTTTACAGGTAAAATTCATACATGGTGTTAAAAATAAGACTTAAAGGAGAATTATGAGGCGAGTGAAAATCACTCAGCCTCATAGTTCTAGCCGACCTGTGACAATGAGACTGTCACAGGTCGGCTCAATAGATCGGGAAGTGAGCGAACACATACCGTCTCTCGCTTCTCGATCCTGTCCTTGCAGAGAGTCGTGACTGTCACTCACGGCTCCCTGCAGGGATTCCCCCCTCCCCGATCCTCCAGCGCTGACTGGCGGAACGGATGGGGGAGGGGGCGGGTGCAGCTGGCTCTACCTCTAGATTGGGAGAGCCAGCTGTCACCCACGCAGCTGGGTGGATCCAGACAGTAATGTCGGGATCCGTCCCGGCTGCGGCGTCTCAGTATACCACGAGCTGTAGCTCGCGGTATACTGAGCTTTGAGTGACAGGAGGATGCTAGTTTGTGTCCTCCCGTTACCCTTAGGAGAAGTATGGGGAAAAGCCCTGACCCCATAGTTCTCCTTTAACATGCAGTTCCATTCCACTTCCACATTTTGCATGGTATGTGGCAAGAATCAGCTCAGTGCTGGGTCTTTACTGCTATATGTTACTCTAATACAGAGAGGAGAATTTATTAAAACTGGAGCAGACAAAATCTGGAGCAGCTGTGCATAACAACCAATCAGATTCTCTATTTCATTTTCAAATCTTAACTGAACAAACTGAAAAGAGAAGCTGATTGGTTGTCACGGGTAACTACTCCAGATTTTGTCTGCTCCAGTTTTGATTCATTTCCCGCAGTGTCTTCCCAACCCCATGTCCTACCGATAAAGCTGGGCTTGGCTATGAGCCAGGCTATCCAGGCTCTTAGACATATTCACTCTATACAGTTTATATTTACAATTTGTTTCAGTCTGAGGGTGTAGGATGGCCATTATTTCCTATAAATGCCAGTGTCTTACCATTATGGATTCAGCCAGCAAGGCTGTGGGATTAATCATGTTGCAGGCAGATGGAAAACCAAGTCAAATGTGTTTATTTTAGTTTTTGCAATCAGCAATTCATTTAAATCCAGCATGTTGTAGTTCGGTCTTGTACTCGTTATTTCAAGGGAACCTGTTGTGAGAAAGTAAGAATAGCTGATTTCCACCCCTTTGTAAATACTATTTTCCTGGTAGTCATGCTGATCTAGTGGCTTCTATACTTTGTAAGCCACTAACATGGAACAAGTATGCTGTTCCGACTTCAGCCTCATTCCAGATTTGAATGCTTGTTCAGTTGAGTGTCTTAAAGTGCTGAAGCTATAGACAGCCAGACAGCTAGCATTCACAGAAGGTGGTCAGTAATTACAATTTTGGTTTTTCTCTCACTACAATGTTTTATTAATGGGCGAAGGACAGAAGAAATTAATGAAGATGCAGTTGCACCTAAATGAGACTAATTCTTCTTCTTTTGTAGGTGCCACAAGATCAGACCAATAACTGTAGTGACCACAATATGTACCAATCAAGAATGGAGGTACAAATAAACACAACTGATATAATTTTTCTGAATGTCCTGATAACTGTTCATATTACCCAAGCAACAGAATTCTCCCTGCACTCATTATCATGCTATGAATATATTTTTGTTTGTAATTTTTTGTTGTTGGAATAATTGTATGTTTTATATAATGTTTGTATGTGTATAGGCTTTATTAAACAAACAAACATCTAGTACAAGGACCATCCATTGTGCTCATTTTTAAAGCATACCGTGCTTTTTAGTAAGAAATGTCAGGTTTATCTTCATGTATGATGGCAGTGACTAATGTAGGCATATAAGGGCAGTCATTCATACTACCTAAGTGCAGCATAAACATGTCAGGTCAGAACTGCGAACTTGCAAGATTCTTCTAATGGATTGGGGAGGGATAGGGAGCGAAAAATGGGGGACTGCTGGTGCTGGCTTATCGGAGAGCAATGATAGTGATCAGAACTTCCTGTGTTCTCCCAGACCATGACCGGCTGGCACAGGTGGGTTCCACCATACACATGATGATGACTTTACTTAATTGACATCTGTCAGCTCATGTTTATGGGTAACTTAACTCAAGCAAGCCCTTCTCTGCAAGGAAAGAGGGTAATTCAGCAGTCTGTGTAGTCTGATGTTGCCTGCTATTCAAATTTGTTTTAGCACAACAGCTGTTAGGAGGCTGGTGTTCTATCCTAAAACTGGCTGCTTGCTGGCTGCAGGTGGTTGATACTTAATTTATGTCATAATAAAGAAATATATAAGATATAAACATAAACACTATACTTTTATAACATTTAAACCTTGTTTCACTTTTTATACAAAATGCAGCAACAGAAGTAAAGATAGTAACAGATAACATAATGGTAATACGAATCAATGGGGGTAAAAACTATGGTGAGAGATAGGATTGTGTGCTGTATGAAGATTTATGAGCTAAATATACCTGTAAGTATACATTTGAATTAACATGCAAATATGATAAAGGGAACATTGTGCTTTATATGTGTTACAGTTTAGGTATTTCTTTTCAGTGATGGACATGCAATTTGTGCAGACTGTGCTATGCACTGTATGTTAGATGTGGGTCAGATGGGCCCAGGGCTCCCTTCCCACTGTCTTGAAGCCTTAAGGTGGCCATACACTGTACAACCATCGCAAGACCATAGTCTTGCGATGGTTGTAAAGTGATTAAAAAAACGTACGATCTGCCCATCTTGGACAGGCAGATCGTACTCTCGATCATCGCAAAACCCGCCCCCCTGAGGGGCGGGCTTCCGATGACCGCAATGCTGAACGGGCAGTGTGCGCGTGCGCACACCGGCCCGTTCGGCATTTGTCTCCCGAGCACCGTTCAAACCAGCCGAAAATCGTACGATTTTCGGCTGGTTTTTTAGCTAGCGTGCTCCTTAGACAAAAGACGTGCGACCGTACAGTAGAAACGGTCGCACATCTTCGTTCACACTGCTCGATTCTCATACGATTGCGGGATTTCCCGCTATTCTCGTACGAGAATCGAGCAGTGTAGGGGCACCTTTAGACACAACTTACTTCTATCTTGCTGTCAATCAATAAATAGTGAATGAGGGTTTTTTCTTGGCCACAATTTTGGGGGACCCAAAAAATAATCGTGCACAGTGGCCCTGTGGTGACTCTGTCCGCCACTGTTTCCATTGCTTGCAGACACCCCTTTTTACATACTACAAAGGAAAGAAGAGAAATACATATTTAAAGCTATCCTCAGATGCCCAGCAATGGCTCTCTACTAGTATTAGTTAATCATTTGTGTTGAAATTGCATTGTCATATGTCTTTATTTCTTTTTTTTCAGGCTGTGAAATCTGGACTGACTGAAACTTTGCATTTGCTTCACAAACAGAATCCTAGGCAGAGAGTGGCACTTGTAGCTTTCAGTGACCAGGTAAGTTAAAAAAGCAATTCAGTGACATTTGAGTGTAACAGAATGTACAGAATGATTCGAGGGGATGTTGGGTCTCTGTATAAGAATAAGTAGTGCATTTTTCTATATCTACCTTACTGTAAAACACTGCATACATGTGGATGTGCCAAAGTCCTTCATTACCCAGTCCATACTTTATAAAATGTCTGTGCTTTTAAACCTCTCGGGCAGGTCAGAATTTTTCCCTAGGCTTGAGTTGTACATTTAAACTAGGGATGGACCGAAATGGAATTTCAAGACCAAAACTGAAACCGAAAATAAAAATTGTCAGGACGAAACCAAAAACAGAAAATTACATTTTTCCCCCAACCTTTTTAAAATGTTTAAAATTATTTTTAAAATTATCTTATTTTTGTCTTTTTCTTTTTTACTTTACTGTCGGGGGGTCTGGGGAAATATCAGTGGTCTACACGTTCCCTTTGAAAATGGAAAAAGAGTTTGAGGACACAGAGTCCTAAATCTCTTATTCTGCAGCCCCGGCACTGAATGAACAGGAAGCCTCTATACTGAGTGGTGCTGTTCATTCATAAATTGTGACTATAGTATGAATTACTATGTCCTCAATCATGAATGCACAGGAAGTGATGTAGATCACTTCCATTTATTCATAACTGGTACATAGCAACTCATACTATGTCCAGTTATTTACAAACATTCATCGATCAGCTGATCGCTAAATGTTTGTACTCCGCTCTCCATCCTGAATCGACTGTCACAGGAGGCCCTGCCGAGAGGTGCGGGAGGAGAGCTTGGGCTCCTGCAACGCTGACAGCACTTTTCTCCCCTATTGCTCCCCACTGACACCTTCTCCTCCTCCCCGCTGGGTGCCAGTCACTGCATCGGAAGACACACAGACTTGCGCCCAGCTGGGTGGGGTGGAGAGAAGCTGGGATGCCGCCAAAATTCCGGTGCATCCCTAATTGAAACCATATTTTACTTTTAACAGTATTGTTTATTAACTATTAACTTGGGTAGAACTGACAGTCAGTATGTGCAAGGCGCTGTTATATAGATGTTCATAAAAGTAGTTTGCACATGCAGATTTACCTTTTTACTGAAATCTTATTATTGTGTGCAATATCTCTGGTTTCATCTGTGCTGCCTATGATGTCAGCTACTAATGTGTATGTGATGGTAATTTGTTTGACAGGTGAAGATATATGGAGATGGAACCATACAGCCACAAGTGTTAGAGGACTGTGAACTTCTAGACACTGATTACCTGAAATCACAAGGCGAAAACCAGCCAGTGCCACAAATATTAGAAGAGACTCTGCATCTCCTGGAGGCCAAAATCGAATGGTAATGATGCTTGTTCTGTATAAAAAATGGCCAGTAAACCAAAGGCTTTGGGTCTTCCTTCTGCTTTGTAAGGAGTTATCAGATGTTTAAAAACGTGCAAAAAAGTGTCTATGTGTTTTAGACAAAATATTTTTGGTACAGTTCTCATACAGTGCATCTTCCATAGGGATTGATGGTATAGCACATGGGTCAGCAACCTTAAACACTCAAAGAGCCATTTGGAGCCGTTTCCCACAGAAAAGAAAGCACCGGGAGCCGCAAAACACTTTTGACATCTAAAATGAAGATAACACTACATATATCGTCTTTTTATCTTTATGCTATGTATAGCATGTATATAGGTATATGTGGGCTTAGTAACGCACTGGACTATGGACTTACCTGAGACCCTGCAGAGCCCACTTGAGAGTGACCCTGCAGAGCACACCATAGATCCTGCACAGCCCATCTGAGACTCTCTAAGGTGGGCTCTGCAGGGCATCAGGTGGGCTGGTCGCCGGGGTCCCTTTCCCTGTACCTCCTCCCAACTCCTCTTACCTCCTCTGTCATCTCTGCCATGCCGCCCCTGGTACAGATGATATTCATGTAAGAGGCCCCCCCATTCCACCCCACTCACAAAGTCGGATAGAAGTGACATTTCAGGACCGAACAGCTGTTCCAGGGCAGATCAGTTCTCCTGCACATACGATTTGCGATGGCGATCTGCCCTGGAACAGCTGAGAAAGCGATGGAATGCTTGACCTATTGGTGGTCACACATTCCACTGCCAAAAAACTGGGCGGGATTACGTTAAAATGTGTGACCACGTCACCGGTCACACATTCCAACCTAGTCACAAACTTTGATAGAACAGCGGCCCTGTCTAATCAATTTAATCAGAGAAATAGATTATAATAGGCAACATTATTCCCCATTATAATCCACTTTTCTAATTAAATTAAATAACAGCACACAGTGTGCAGTTACACCCGTACCACCTCACCTTCCCCCCGCTCCTCATTCGGACTCACCTGCCAAGCCTTACAGCCAGCATCCCAGCCAGACCGTGTGCACTGCAGGGGGTGGGGCATGTGACACACACTTCTCCTCTCCCGCCGCCTGTTACTAGGGATGCGGCCGGGAGAGGAGGTGAGTCACAGGACCTGCCCCCTTGCTGAGTAGCTCGTCGGCAGTGCGGGGCCCTGCACTGCTGCATATTCCACCAGGGGGGATGCCCAGGACCGGACCTCACTGGGCCCCCCCAACAGCTTCAGGCCTCGGCGGTAGTTCCGCCCCTGGACAGGGAGCCGCAACAGAGGAATGAAAGAGCCACATGCGGCTCTGGAGCCGCGGGTTGCCAACCCCTGGTATAGCAAGTAAGGCACCGGAAGAAATTACAAATACAAACATGGGAATTGGTTTTTATATGGATAAAAGTGATCATCTTCCTGAAGGCTTTGCACTGCTTAATACTCATTGCTAACTGAGCCTATCATTTTCAGTTGTAACTTGTAATGGATGGATTGGGCACACGTAGTGCCCACAAAAGCACAAAACAAGGGGCGTAAATGATTACTTCCCCTGAAAATGAGCCACTTCTCAACCACTGGCATGTTTACTGTCACATTCTTTACCATCATAAATTGTACAGTGAGTGTTCGAAAGGCTGTGCTGAGATAGTTACATAGTATTTGAGGTTGAAGAAAGACATTAGTCCATCAAGTCCAACCTATAGGATCTCATTCCTAGGAGTACTACTTGTACCCCTGTATATTACGGTCCCTTAAGAAATCGTCCAAAAGTTTCTTGAACAATTCCACATTCTTTGCTGAAATCACCGCCTGTGGCAGCGAGTTCCAGACCTTGACCGCTTTAACTGTGAAGAACCCCCTTCGCCCCTTGTGCTGGAACTTCTTTTCCATCAATTTTAGGTGGTGGCCTCTAGTTTTTTTAATGGAGTTAATTTTAAACAGTTTATCGCTAATGTTGCTGTCACCATTGAACATTTTGTACATGGAGATAAAATAGAAAACCTCAAGGACAGTTCTAGAATAATATCTGAGGCAATTCTGGAACATCCTAAAGGTGCTGAATTAAAGACAAATATGAAAAACACATGGGGTTAAAGATTGTGGGTGGTGGTATTCCTTTATGCCAAAACTGGATAGGACATCAGCTGTGTACTGAAAAATATTACCTCTGTGTCATTTTCATTTAATACATTCCTTAAAAATGTTTGAACTGTACGCATGAATATGCTTGTAATTCATGTTTTTGAATCATGAAAATGGTCCATTGACATACAATCAAGGATCCATCAGTCATACTTGTAATGGGAGATCATGAATTCTTCTTAGCCGTTCCAGAGCCTGGACTGGGTCCTTGTAGCATTCCAGATTATCTAGACTGTAGTTTGTCCTTTGCCTTTATCTGAATTGAGAGTACATACAAGCTGGAATTATGCTTTAATTAAAAATATGTTTTGTTTAATAATTGCAGCCTGAAAGAAAATGGAGCTACCGCGCTGGGCCCTGCAGCCTTGATGTCTATAGCAATGGCTTCCAAGAGACCAGGATCTAAGGTAAGTGAGTCCCAATCAGAGCCAGTGGCAGATTAAGGGCCTTTTTTTCCTTCAGCTCCATAGTGAATAACCCTCTAAGCATCCTAAGGTTTCGGAAATCCCATTGTGGTAGTGTATTGACAATTTGGGGGGCTGCTTCTCTTAAAATTTCACAAGCTTGGATTCTGACCTATGTAATCTTTGCACATATTTGTGTCATAAAAGCTACAAATATTTGCTGATGTTTACAATTCTTTCATCTTAAATTATACTGCATGTCTGATATATTATGTGACCTATCTCTCTGGTCTTTCCAGGTGATCATTTGTACAGATGGTCGGGCGAACACTGATCTGGGGAACCTGGAGAATATAACTGAAGAGTATGTCTACCAGTCCTCCAAGCTTTACTACAGCAATCTGGGAGATCTGGCTCTTCAGCACAGGTTAGATATCATGTTCTGCATACCACAGGCATTCAGGAAAGATTATTTCACTTTTATATATAGCTGTGTGATTTGTTTCATACACCTAAGGCAGGGGTCAGCAACCTTGAACACTCAAAGAGCCATTTGGACCCGTTTCCCACAGAAAAGAAAACACCGGGAGCCACAAAACCCTTTTTACATCTAAAATGAAGATAACACATCATATATCGGTTTTTACCTTTATGCTATGTATATAGGTATATGTGGGCTTAGTAACGCACTGGACTCTGGGCTTAACTGAGACCCTGCAGAGCACACCATAGATCCTGCACAGCCCATCCGAGACTCTCTATGGTGGGCTCCACAGGGCCTCAGGTGGGCTGGTCGCCGGGGTCCCTTTCCCCGTACCTCCTCCCAACGCCTCTTACCTGTTGCTGCTGGTGCCTGGCCTCCTCCACCCCCTCCCCTGTCACCTCTGCCATGCCGCCACTGGTACAGCTGATACTCATGTAAGAGCCCCCCCTCACATGGGTACTGGCCGTGTCCCCCCTGATGGCGGTGTTCTATCAAAGTTTGTGACTACGTTACAATGTGTGAACGGTGACGTGGTCACACATTTCAATGTAATCCCGCCCAGTTTTTTGGCGGTGGAATGTGTGACCGCCAATAGGTGAAGCATTTCAGCGCTTTCTCAGCTATTCCCGGGCAGATCGGCATAGCAAATCTTATGTGCAGGAGAACCAATCTGCCCTGGAACAGCTGATCGGTCCTGAAATATCTCTTGACACTGCGACTGCGATCTCACATTCCACCGCACTCACAAAGTCGGATAGAAGTGACATTTCAGGACCGAGCACCTTTCTTATACATGCACCTGGTAAATCATAATGCCATTGTGTCTACATTGATTTATTTCTTGCGCATGCACGTGCACCTGGTGTTGCTCGTAGACATTTGCCAGGTTCTGCATCTGTGCATAGAGGTGTTCATGTTCGCGCATGCCAACTTGAGCTTTGGCGCCCTTTCAGCTATTTAGGCTGTGACATCCACTCCTCTTGTGCTGTCTGATTGTCAGCTTACCCGTGTTCCTAAAGTTCCTGTATTCTGATCTGCTTACCTGTTTGCTTACCTGTTACTGACCCAGCTTGGCTTGACCTTCCCCTGCTCTCCTATGTTCCTGAATCTCGGCTTGCTTCTGACCACCGCTTCTGTCTACTCCTAGTACCGCATTGCCTGAACGTTGCTGACCTCGGCCTATTCCTGACTACGATCCTGCTTCCCGTCCTGGTACCTCGCTGCCCACCTGTTAACAACCCGGCCTGTCTTGACCACAGCTTGCCTGCAGACAAGTCCTTAAGTGTGTCTCTTCTGAACCTGAACCCTGCCTGGGTCTACCAGCATGACAGAGACCGCCGCCTGGCAGAGTTGTCATATCCGGTACTCGTGCCTCTCTGTGCCCCTGTACTCAATTCAGATGCTTTTGGACCTGTGTTGTAAGAGAGGCAACCCTCGACAAACAAGACTACTCAAAGGTACATGACAGTATCAGACAGCCATCACGGAGTCTGAAAAGGAGGCCTCTATAATGGAAGAACTTTGCCAGTATATTGTAGCTCTGTCTCAAGCCGATAAAGGTTTGGAAGAAGGCTATTTTTAACTGGAAGGCAGACTTGAATCTTTGTCTCGACCTACTGCATCTGTCTCACCACCATCTCCTGCTATTCCACCAGCTTATTCCACCAGCTGCTGGAGCCTCCGCTGCTGATCCAGCCATCCAGTTTCCTCCACCAGAACCACTGGGACTGAAGCAAATTCTGTGTGTTCCAAAACGCATGTAAATGATATTTTATCTTACAACCTCGTACCTTTTCCTCTGAAACCACCAAAGTGGGATTTGTCATCTCACTCTCACAGGTGGAGCACAGACACCGACTGGAATGACGTTGCTCTGCACTGCCAGTTCCGGCTCGGACTTTCTGATTTACTTAAAGAAGAGCTGGCATGTGTAGGAATTCCTGATTCTATGGAACACCTGATTAGGCTCTCAATTCAGATCGACAGGCAGCTAAAGGGAACGCAGAACAGAGAAAAAAATAAATCTTGTCCATCATGGATGCTGCCTAAGTTACCATCTTCCATCATCCCTGCTGCTGTCCCTCCTATCAATTCTACATCTGCTTGCACCGTTGAACCATATGAACCCATGCAGCTTGGCCTTATCCTGGCTCCTTTGTCTCCAGAGGAAAAGAACCGTCACCGTCAAATGAACCTCTGCCTTTACTGTGGGGAGACGGGGCATTATGTAAGATCTTGCCCCAACAAACACCATACGTGCAGATTCTCATTCTCGCAAGCTTCTGCCTTAATGTCTGATCAGACGTCAAACATTGTTATTCCCGTTTCCTTACAGCTGCCGGAAGGGGAATTCAAGACTCAGGCCGTAATTGATTCAGGGGCATGCAGTTGCTTCGTGGATCAACCGTTTCCTCAACTTCATCACCTAACTTTACAATCCAGATCTCAAAGACTTACCATTCATTTGGCTGATGTTATGTCAACAGGAAATCTGTCCAGAACTATATCAGACTGTTCCTCCTCAGAACCATGACTTCCTGGATCTTTTCAACAAGCAGAAAGTGGACACCTGGGGCAAAAATTCCTTATGGACGTATTTATCCCTTGTCAGAACCTGAGCTAGAGGTTTTGAAAGAGTACATTGCTGAAAACCTAAAGAAAGGATTCATCAGCTAATCCACCTCTCCTGCTGGAGCTGGAATATTCTTTGTCGAAAAAAAAGACCATACACTGCGCCCATGTATAGACTTCAGAGACTTGAATCAAATAACTGTTAAAAATCGTTATCCTCTTCCCCTTATTCCAGAACTGTTCATAAGGCTTCGCTCTGCTACTATCATCACCAAACTTGATCTTCGAATGGCTTACAACCTTGTTAGAATTTGAGAAGGGGATGAATAGAAGACAGTTTTTCATACTCGTTTTGGCCACTACGAATTACTGGTCATGCCGTTCGGTCTCTGCAACACCCCTGCCAAATTCCAACACTTTGTTCACAATGTTTTTTGGGACTTCCTTGACCAATTTTTAATAGTATATCTGGATGATATTCTTATTCTTTTCTCACTCTCTTGAATAGCATCGTAAGCAGGTGAAACTAGGCTTGGCCAGGCTTTGACTTTATGGACTATTTGCGAAGGCCGAGAAATGTGAAATTGAAAAACAGACTATTCAATTCCTTGGCTTTGTGATTTCCACTACGGGTATTGTTATGGATCCCAAAAAAGTGTCTGCAGTTCTGGTTTAGACAAGAAAGGTGTGCAGCGCTTCATAGGCTTCGCTAGTTTTAACAGAAAGTGTATTCAAAGTGTATTATAGCACCGATTACTCAGCTTACCAAGAATCAGGCCCATTTTCAGTGCTCCTGCAACTCAAACTGCCTTCAATGAGCTTAAGAAGCTGTTCACTTCTGCACCCATTCTAAGGCAACCTACGTTGTCATTTGTCCTGGTGGTGGACGCATCTGAGAATGCGGTGGGAGCAGTGCTATCCCAAAGTGCTATCCCAAAGGCAAGGTCCAAAGTCTTTGTTACATCCTGTAGCATTCTTTTCACGCAAGCTTAGCCCTGGAGAAAGAAATTATAATGGGGATCGGGAGTTGCTTGCCATCAAACTTGCACTGGAAGAATGGTGCTACCTTTTGGAGGGGGCTGCTCAGCCAATTTTGATATTGGCAGACCACAGGAATATCTGATGTCTGCTGAACGTTTAAATCTTCGACAGGCAAGATGGGCGTTGTTCTTTTCAAGCTTCAACTTTCATATTACCTATCGCCCAGGATCCAAGAATGGGAAAGCTGACGCCTTGTCAGGGATATTTCCTAAATGTGAACCCACTACTGGCCCTGATATGATCCTGCAGGCTGGTAATTTCCTAATATTACAAGAAGACCTAATCTCGCAGATTCGAAAGAGCAACCTCCAAAGATCTAGTTCCCTTTAAATGTGGAGGTCTGTGAAGAGAATGGACTTCTGCTAAACGGTAAAATTTTTGTACCACAGAGCCTTCGTACAGGGGTATTAAAGAATTGCCATGACGCTCCCCTGGCTGGACATTTTGGCTTTCGCAAAACTTAGCATTTTGTCCAACGTTATTTCTGGAGGCCGAACTTGAGAACTGTTTGCCAAGATTACATGAATTCTTGGATTATCTGTTTACGGAATAAAGGGAGTCACTCTGGGGGTTCGGGTTTGCTGGAGTCCCTACCAGTCCCTGACAGACCATGGGTTTATATCTCAATGGACTTTATCGTGGAACTTTCCCCCTCTGAAGGGTTCAAAGGAATCTTTGTAGTGGTGGATCATTTCTCCAAGAAGGCACATTTCTCTTCAATCAAGGGGGTTCCTCCATCAGCAGCCCAGACAGCACGCATGTTCATCAGAGACAATGTTAGACTTCATGGCCTTCCAAACAGCAGTGTCTCTGACCGGGGGTACAATTTACCTCTACATTTTGTAAAGCCTTATGTGAGGCATTAGAGATCTAAATATGTCTATCTTCAGCCTATCATCCCCAGTCCAATGGCCAAACAGAAAGAACGAACCAGACACTGGAGCAATATCTCCGTTGTTTTTCCTCATTTTCACAAGTTAACTGGATCTTGCTACTTCCCATGGCGGAGGTTGCATATAATAATTCTATTCACTCTGCATCTAACCGATCTCGATTTTTTTTTACAATTGCGGTTTTCATCCAGCCTTTCTTCCTCTGACGTTGTCAGATTTTGCATTAGCAGCAGTTCAAGACACACTGGAATTTCTTGGATCAGCAATCCAATGATGCAGGACACAATTTCCAAGGCTCAAAGTGACAGCAAAAATAATTTTGACAAGAAAAGAAGGGGAAATTTGGACCTGAAACCTGGGGATCATGTCTGGCTTTCCACAGCAAACTTGAAATTAACCTGCCTTCCAAAAAGTTGGGTCCTGGGTTTTTTGGTCCTTTTCCTGTTGAAAAAATAATTAATTCTGTGGCCTACAAACTGAGGCTGGCTTCTACCTATAAAATCCATCTGGTATTTTGTCTCCCTGTTAAAGCAAGATGTTCCCAACTCTTTTTCTAATCCTTCCATTGGAGTTCCAGAACCTGTTATTGTGAATGGTGATGAAGAGTTTGAAGTCGAAATCATCTTGGACTGCAGGAAACGTAGAGGTGTAACCCAGTTTTTAATCAAGTGTAAGGGGCCTGCTCATATAGCTTTGCCAGTATCTGTGCGCATGTTCAAGCATGTGTACACGCATTGCCATGTGTGCTGACTTGTAGTTTGAGCTTTGGCGCCCTTTGGGCTATTTAGGCTCTGACGTCCAGTCCTCCTGTGTTGTCTGATTTTTAGCTTACCTGTGTTCCTGAAGTTCCTGTATTCTGATCTGCTTACCTGTTACCGAACTGGCTTTGCTTGACCTTCTGCTGCTCTCCTACATTTCTGAACCTCAGCTTGCTTCTGACCACCGCTTCTGTCTACTCCTGGTACCGCATTGCCTGCACGTCATATCCGGCACTCGTGCCCCTCTGTGTCCCTGTACTCAATTCAGGTGCTCTGAGACCAGAGTTGTAAGAGAGGCAACCCTCGTCACACCAGACTCCTCAAAGGTACATGACACAAGATCACCTCTCATTCATTAAATCTACTTGACAGCCTTCTGGCTTTCTCAAGGGGCACGAGAATCTGGCTGCTCTGTTACCTGGAGACACTGATAAATGCAAAATATGTGCAGAATACTGAACTTCTTTCTGGTCCTGTATCTGCTGTTTTAGGACATGTAACTCTGAAACTAGAATTCAACTTTTGGCCTTGCTGGCTTAATATATTTGGGAGCCAATTAGGGTTCTACCACCTGATTCTATAGTTGCCACACATTTCATATACACTATCATTATTGCACTATTATTACATCATACACTATTATTAGAACATTATAGTTCTATGGAAAAAGGATTTTGGTAGACTGTATATATCAATGTGTATGTGTCTTTTGTAGTGTTGTGGTGTCAGTGGTGACGATAGAAGGAACAGACTGCAGACTTCCTGAACTGGGACAACTTGCCGATAAGACAGGAGGAAAGGTATGCAGTTTTTAGTGCTGATGCATATGTGTCATGTATATGTATATCAGGTAATACTGTAATCATCAATCAATAGAGCCTGCAGACCTGTGACCCAAGGTGCCCCAAGCCATTTCAGATTTTTGTTTGGCATTGTAGTGTTGGTTCTTTGACTTTTTATTAAACAGTGCCCCCTGGAAAGCTCCTGTGAACTAGGCCACTGCAAACCATTAAAGGAAACAAAGATTATATGTTTGAAGCATTCTTTTGATAGTTTGTTGTATAGAGTATGGTCTGAGTATGATCGTGCAAAACTGGTGGCCCAAGGAGGTATCTAAGAAATAGGAAGGTTCGTAGTGTACTAAAATAAATGTTTTTAATTAAGATACCCTGTTTATATGTTGCAAATTCAATAAATGGAGTGATTTTAAGAAAGGATTTTATTAATTGGCACCGAAAAACCCCCCAACATATACTGTATATGTAAAGTTTGTACTTTTTTTGATTTTTTTTTTTTCTAAATTTCTTAGGGGTCTATTCACTAAGTTGCCGAGGGCAGCCGAGTGAACAACCGACACCAAGTGAAGTGAAATTTCAGATGGCGTTTATTTGCACTGGTCAATGTAGTGCTGGGCTTTGGTTACTGTTTCATTCAATGCAGAGATCAAATGTATATCAGATCCAAAAGCAATGAAAAAAATCAGTTCTTTAAAACCAAAAGTAATTGCTGAAGGGTACCAAAATATTATGCAATATTTACCAGAGTTTGAAGATTAGCATGTAGACACCATTAAAAAACGAACCACTTGACATTGACAGACACAGAATGACTACGCATACAATTAACTTTGGTGAAGATTTATGTATAGAGCTGCAAAAAAAAACCTGATGTATATATGTGACTGATAGAACCCATGCAGATTGCTAGGCAGCATTATGTACAGCAGGCAGTGGCTACAAATGCACATTTTTAAGGGGTGCAAATCAGCTACTTGTTACAGGAAAAGCAAGTAAAAGTGTTTAAATGGTTATTTTGAGTGATTTAATTATGATTCAAATCATCCTGATTTTTAAATAGCCTGGTATTTAGAAATGATCCATTAATTTTTTTAAACAGGATTTGAAACCATCTCAAAAACAAATTCCAATGGTAAAAGCTAAAATGCAGTATAGCATGACTATTTTATGTTGCTTTATAACTCTGTTGGATAAATGCCTATTATGTATTTTACTTGATGCGGGCATTACTCTATTCTCATTGTTTGTCTTGGCTAGGTAAATATTGTACATCCTTCAAATTTGGCCAAGGAATTCCAGTCTATCCTGGATGAACAAATTAATGCTACGGATGTGGAAGTAAAGGTTTATCTTCCCCATTCTATGTAAGTAAAGTTGTGTAAATTCTTAAGGAAAAACAAATTATCCTTTTTAATTTCCACTATCATCTACAGTACTGTACAATTACAAATTGCACAATTTTGTATGGAGGGTTATGATTTAATTAGTTAAAATGCATAATACTTCTGCACATACTGAAATAGATGAGAAATATATTTTGAGAGTGACTGTGATAACACTTCTGTTTTTACTGTGGTATACACATACATATTTGAAGGTTTGCCATATATTTCAAGACTATCTATATATTTGTTCTATACACTGAAAATGAATCCAGTTTAGTTCATGCTGTATTTCTCTGCGAGGCATCATATACGTTTTCATATCCTTTTCTCTTTTTTGTATTCAGGCATTTCTTCTATGAGGCACATACTGAGCCTATTTTACAAAGGAAACTTGGAAGTACAAATGCTGACACTGTGCTGTCCACAGAATTTACTATCCATTCATCCAAGACTAAAGGTAGGATCATAGAAATTTTCTAAACGTTTAAAAACACTATTGAAAAATGCTTTGAGTAAACAACCATGTAGGGATGCACCGCTACCGGTTTCTCAGTATCGGGTACGAGTACCGATATTTTTTCACCAAGTTATGAGGAAGTATGGAGGGCGGGTAATGACTCGCTGCCGGGCTTCCTGATTGGTCAGCTTCCTGAGCAATCGGGTCGCTGCTTCTGCCGCTGGTCTCAGCCGAATGCTGCACGTGTGCGGTGCAGCGAGCCAATTCTCACCCCTTCTCCCGTGTTCCCTGTGGAGGTGGTGAAGGCTGTGAGCAGGCGCAGTGGTGGAGGTGTGGCGAGAGGTGGGTTGGGCTGAGGGGGAGACTGCGTAGACATGCTTCCTCATCATCAAGTGACGAGGAGGCATGGAGCCTGCTTCCTGGCCAATCAGGAAGCCGGGGGGGGGGGGGATCCCTATTGACCTGGAAGCCAACTTCACGCTTCCTGGTGTTCCGCTATCGGGATAAGTATCGGGAGCATTTGCATTAGTATCGGCACAGATATCGAAACTAGTATCGGTATCGGAGCATCCCTACAACCATGATAGGACTGAGTGGAAATATAATAGTGAAAAATTACAGGCATAGTGGACAATAAAGAGAAACAAGATAGTTGTACAGTATTTATTATGGTAGCCTATGATAGATCATAGGTTACCAACCATTGTTAACACTTTCTACTACACCAGTAACATTAGAGGTCACCTTTTAACCCTGAATAGTACCATGTCCACTTCTGTTTTATACAATATGCATCTTGTCTGTCTCTCCTATCTATCCTTGGGGTACAGAGCATTTCATTTGGGGTACATGGCCTTCCTTTTGGAGGCTGGACACCAGGCAAGGGAAGACAATTTGCTTCTGTCCTTGCACAAAGGACTGGATCTTCACTCTTTCTTGTTTTATTTTACTCTAGAGTACTTCTTTTTTTAATTTCAAATCAAAGATACAGCTATGGAATAGCAGATAATTTGAATAAGGTTTTTCAATAAAATGATCACTGTTGTATTATATCTCATGGTAAACCAGAACTAGTCTATTAAAAGTATTTACTTACTTTTAAAGGACTGATGTATCTTTGGAATTAAATATTTGACCACGCTTACTACGGGTGTTGTGGCGACACAGGCCCTAAGTCTCATGTATATGATTGACTAAGAAACCATGTCCTGAAGTCATCAATTTCAAAATGTGTGTTTTCACTGCCTTTGAAAATGTGTCCTCTTTATATTCCTCCTCGTGAGTATGCTATTCAGAATGATAATGTATTAGGGTTTCCTTTAGGGCTGCACCGATACCAGTATCGGTGCCAATACTGTGCATTTGTACAAGTACTCGTGAAAATGCCCTTATACTAAATACCGATACCTGCGCTTTACATTTTTAAACTGAAGCAGCTGCCTACGGTCCTGCCCTTGCTGGGAACCTCGGCAACCTTCCTGTGAACCACGGTGCCCGTTTACAGTGTCGGCCGCGCATCATTTTCTCCTTCCCGGGGAACCACACCACCTGCCTAGGAGAGCCACCGGACCCCCGCACATTCCTTCTGAGACCCCGCACATTCCTTCTGAGACCCCGCACATTCCTTCTGAGACCCCGCACAGCCCTCCTGAGACCCCGCACAGCCCTCCTGAGACCCCGCACAGCCCTAGTGAGACCTTCTGGAGACATCAGGCTGGCATCCCGGAGCAGTACAGAGTATGTAGTTTCATATTATTCTGCATTGCTGTATAATGCATTGTATTGTTGGGATTTGTAGTCCTCTATAGCTGTTGGTAGTCTGCATTGATTTGTATTGCCTCTACAGCTTGGAGTCAGTCGCAGAACTACCTGGGTCGCAGCAGTTGCAGCTGTGCCCGGGTCCTAATGCCCCACCACTGTCCTAAAATTATTAGTCTATTGTTTTAGAAAAACTGTCACATGACACACAAAAAAGTATCGGTAATTGGTATCGGGGAGTACTTGAGGGAAAGTATCGGTACTTGTACGCGGTCTTGAAAAAATGGTATTGATGCATCCCTAGTTTGCTTGCTTCTACCTATTACAATACATAAAATAATACATTTTTTTTCAATATTAGACATACATTTATTCTGATATTTGGTGAAGGTAAATGTATTGTTTTGCTGATAACAGAAGTCCTGCGGCATTCCCAGCTACCTGTACAGGTGCAGTTAACATATACCCTCGCAGATGGAAGAAGCATACACCGGATCATCAGCCAAAAGAGACCAGTGACCAATGACAGGTAAAGCAAACCATGAGGAACATTACTGTGGCTGTGGTAAGATGATACATTTCAATAATTATTTTAGTGTGTAAAATCCTGAACTGGTTGCCAGCTCTGATGACTCTGGAATTGCTAGGCCACTTTTTGGGTTATATGAGGATGGGATCCATCCTAATTGAATCATACTCTAACTCAATTTAACCCTAAACATTTTTGTTGATATTCAGAAGAGAAGGGAATTTAACTGAAGTATTGCTATGGGCAATACAATCAGAATTTGTGTCATGTTGGAGTTATAGTATGCCGGTAGTGGTGGTCATACTAGCTGCTGTTGTGCCAAATTACACCCCAGGAAGCGATGGCAGTACACAGAGATGTGTACCTTCAAATAACACCCAAAAATGACTGATAGTGGGGTAAAGCTTTATCATCCAGGTAAAATTTTGAATTTAATGGACTATGTTCCAACTAAGATAGGAGTAAGACCAGAGCTGTTTAGTGTTCACATTTGTGCATGTCTGGGGTTTAGTTTGTCGTAATAAAGATCACTGGAAAAGGAGATTATATGGTATATCCATAATGTAAAGCCAGAGTATGCCTTTGGATATCTGTTGTAGACCTGAACACAATGGAAGCATAGGACCCTGTGATTGTGGCAGATATCAGTAGATGTATGCTTGATTTGTGATGTAATATGTTACATTTATGTAACTTTACAGTATAACTATGTAATCTTTAGCCTTTGTTCTGGTGGTTAGGTTTAAAACCTTTGTTTTCTCTCTAGTGTTGCTGTTCGAGAAGCCATCAACTTGAATGTCCTACAGACCCACAGCGTCCAGTTCTGTGCTCATCTTGCTATGAAAGGCCGTGTGAATGAGGCCACAAAAGTTGCCTTAGAGCTAAAAGAGCTTGTAGATCTTGTAATGTAAGTATGGCTAAATATCATTTAATATGAATGACTAAAAATTTACAAAACTCTGAAATGTATTAAATTGGAATGCTGAATGCAGACGTAGTCAAATCCATCTTACCTTAAAATCCATCTTACCTTAAAAAAGAGTTTCTGCTTTTATGGCTGCAATTTCTTATCTATGATATTTAATTAGATTTATATACAGTAATAACTAATTTTGCTAAAAAACTTTATTCTACTCATAGCTTTTATTGACAAATGAACAACTACCTGTGTATTTGTCCATTAAAAATGCCTCCTGCTTTACAACACACTTAATTTATGCATCTGATTTTCTTATCTTACTGCATGTCTATGTGCTGAGATCTATTCACAGTAACTGAAAACAATATACTCTCCAGGTAGGTATACCGGAACTGATTTTCTTAAAGGATTTCGACTCGAACATCGGCAGTTTGTGTGTTCAGCAAACACACGAACTGTCAGGGCATTTGACGGGCTGTTCGCCTGCCGAGCTCCCCGCAAGCCACTGTGCCCTGTGAGCCCTGATTGGCTAAGTTAGGTGCAAGATTTTGCCCAATCAGGGCCCAGTACTCTGTAAAAACCATGATTGGGCAAAGTCATGATGACTTTGCCCAAACATGGTTCACCTGTTAGATGCCATACAACTGTAAACAGTTGGGCGGAGCTAGCTGTCACCTCTAGCTCTGCCCAATTGTTTATATGTTGCCGGCATATGTCAAAATTAAATTATGCGGCGTGAGTTCGTCGCGAGTGGACGGCGGTCATCGTCTAAAAAAAAAAATTATTTATTTTATGTTTTATTGTTTTATTTTTTATTTTGTTGAGTCTTTGTCGTCATGGACAACGCTGGATGTCGTAATTGACGCTGGATTACGTCGGTGGATCCATTTTTTTTTTTAAAATAAAAAAACTTGTCAAAAACTTGTCTTTTGTTTTTTTCCAAATAAAGGATTTTTTCAAAAGTGTGGCCTCTTTTTTACAATTTTATTTAACCCTTTAGTGAATGGGTAGGTGTACAAGTACCCTTTACTCATTCACAAGAGGGGGGCCGCATCTGGGTGCCCCTACACTGATGTGAATAAGCCCTCCTGTCTGCGCCCCCAGAACCAACGCCCCAGGGCTTGTGACCCTTGTCCCCATCGGCACGAGGACAAGGATTTTTTTTTTTACGTGGAGTCCCATCTACAATTCCTACCAGACCTAAAGGCCTGGTATTATTTGGGAGGGGGAACCGCACACTTTTTTTTTCTTTTTTTCCTTTTTAAATGTCATTTTTTTCTTTACAAATGTCAGTTTTGCTGCAGCAGGTTCTATACATCTTACAGATGCGCCACTTTACAGGCAGTTTAAGGGGACCCCCAGTTTTTTGTTCATTGATTCCTGTCCCCCAGGGCAGTACCCGAATCCCTTTTTTATGGCCATTAACTTGCATATAAGCCTTCAAAATGGGGTCAATTGGTATTCAAGGTTCTACCCCCATAGACTTGCATTGAGTTCGAGTTCGAATTCAAACTTTTTTTCCATGTTCTAAAGTTTTCAAATTCGGACCAAACGGGGGTGTTCGGCTCATCACTACTTTAAAGTGAATCTTCACTTTGACCATGCATGGCAAAGCAACAGGTTTACTTTATGGAGACCTCCACAGACATACAGTTTTTTTAAAATGTGTATTTGGATGCTTGCCTGGCCTACAGACTTAAATGTGTAAAATGCAATTCCTTATATACAATAATTTAAATTGCTTTGGCTTTTTAGGAGACATGAAACATATGGGGACCAGGGAGTTGTGTATGAAGACTGGGAGAATGCTATGGCTCCTATCTATGAAGATTTGCAGGTCTATGTACAAGTGAGTACTAAAAGGACAATAAAAGTAAACACATTGTACATCCTATGTAAAGATGGTAGTAATAATAATAATAATAAACACTGACAGTGATCATTTTGTTAACGCTTACAGACTAAAGTTTGCCATAGACATTAGAGGAATGACAGTTGCCCATGCACAATCCACTCTTCTTTAGATGTTGGCATGGACAAATGCTGGGTCTGACTGACCAGTCGTGTTTAGCCTATGTAGAGGGATGGGATAGTATTACATCTACACCTTCAGTGTATGTTGAGGTAAACAAAAGCAACCACACAAGATTTTTTAATCAGATTTTCAGATTTTTTTTAATGCAGATTTTAATCAGCATTTTCCCAGATGCCGCTGTCTGCAGTGTCAGACAGCAGCATCTGGCAGAGGCCATAGGTATAAGATCTGCACCCCAACTGCCTAAAAATGGCTGAATCTTATGCCTACAAGTGCCTTAAGGGTACCCATCTCCTAAGCCTTTCTATCGGTCTGTGAAGACATCCATCACACTAAAGAACAGTTGGGAGGCTCAAGAGGTAGGATATGTGGGAAGAGGCTCTAAATTTACAGGAAAGATCCAGAAATCGGCAGCATTTCTAAATCTACTAATCATTTGAATTGTGGTTTTGGCTGTAGAAATTCTCTGCTTTTTTTATATGTTTAGTTTGATTTGCCTAAGTTTGTGACATGTTTTTGTAGAGGTTTTGAGCTTGTGTAATAGAACTGTTGGCTATAGTACTACTTTACAGTTTGTGGTGCAAGTGAGTGTGTGTGTGAGTAGTAATGAGTATGTACTATTATAAAATACTACAAGATTCTAGGGAAGAATATTATTGGCTCTAGAGCATGAACCACAGTGGTGGAAACTGTGACCAAGCACATGTTTTCTGAAACCAGCCATATTTATATGACTTTTCCAGGGTCTAAAACCAGTATAACCATTTTGAGGCCCTAGAATTGGTAATATACTGTATATTGTTATAGCATAGTCATATTGTATCCAATGACATCAATGCTTGGTGCAAAATCATATCATGTTCTATGTGCAGTGTTCTATGTGTCATGTACAATCCTATAACTTGTTATATGCTACACTGCAACATGAACAATTACATTACAATATATCCGCAGTTACATCACTGCATTTTGTAGGCTTGTACCACCTCTTGCACCAGCCTTGACATTTCTATTCATAACCCTAAAGTACTGTTATCTGTGTGAACTGTTCTATGTAAATTTGTGTCAATATCTTTATATTTAGGAAGAATCATCGAAGAAGAACAATGTGGATACCGCCACAGTAGCTCCTGCACTAAAAGTAAGTAGGATAATTTAACAATGTATTGACAATTTATACTAATTATGTTTTTGGAGGTATATGTGGGAATATGTATGGCAAGGGAAGCTGAATAAACAGTCTAAGTGCTTTCCTAGTCCAGGTTTAGGCAACTTTGGCACTCCGGCTGTGGTGAAACTACAAATCTCTTTAGGCCTCTGCCTCTAGGAGTCATGACTGTGGCTGTCAGAGTCTTGCAAGACTTGCAGAGTCGGGGCAATGCCTCATGGGAGTTGCAGTTCCTCAACAGCTGGATTGCCAAGGTTGCCTACCCCTGTCCTAGTCTATAATCTGTAGAAATTACCAATTTAACCTTGTACATATCATATGTATGCATACATTTCCCTTTCCATCCATTTGAAATGCACTGCAATGACCCAGTTCACAGCTTAATATGGCACCACATACTTGGTGGGGTGGAAACTTATGCACCTTTAACACAGTGATAACTGATAGGAATGTCTGTATGCATGTATAGGAATTGAAAGATAAGCAGAGCATTATCAGAGTAGTCTAGGGTCCTGGCCAGGTCAAAAGTCAGGGCTGGTGACACAGTTTTGTGTTTAGGTTAGAAGCTAGAATTAGAAGCAACACAGGTTCTAGGAAAGACCACCAGCTAGGATTAGGGTAGATGACACAGGTTGTTGGTTAGTTCAAGAGCCACAGACAGGACAGGTGAGACAGCTCCTTGGACAGATCACCACCTAGAAGTAGGATAGATGGCACAGGTTGTTGGCAAGGAACCTAAGAAGCTAGGTTAAGAAAAGGTGACACCTTTTTCCTGAACTGGTCACCTGCGAGGATTATTGCAGACGGAACAGGTTCTTGGTGAGGGTGGAAGGCAGGGTCAGGATTGATTGCACAGATTCATGGTTGGCAAGTTTGGATATCAAGACCGCAGAAATACCTGACTTAAAAACAAATATTGTGGTTGTGCCAACCAGTCAGATTATGCATAGATAACTGAGTCAAGAGATACAAGAAAATATCACATGGCACACATGAACACCTTCCAGCATCCAATAAGAACCTCTCATTACAGTTCACATATTAGACTGACAGCAGATTTCTAAAGCAGGTGCCTGTATGATTCTATACAGAAATGGCAACCACACAAATCAATTTGTAACTAGCCTTTTAAAGTAAGGGGCTCATGGAAGAGCTTTGCACAGTACTAACACAAAGATTTCCCAGCACACTTACCAGCCAGCCTGCAAATAACATTACACTGTCTAATAATTTAATTTGCATTTTATTTGCACAACTTTTGTAAAATATGTGGAATGCACACTGGCTCGTCAAGGCTCACTTGTCTGTGGTCCTAATGTGAGCCTCCATCATATATAGCAATAGATAAAATGGAGTGCAGGTAATTCCTGAAGGTAGGCCATTTCTACTTAAAGGCATAGACACACCACAAGCACGGCACAATGGTAGCTGAAGATTCTTCGGATATCTCATGCAGCACTCAAAAAGCACAAAAACTAAGTTGCTCTGTTATGGAAATCTCAACTGCAGTTCAAACAGTTTCATCCAGTTCTCCCCATCCTTCTTCTCGCTAATTGTCACAATGCACGGTATTTCCAATGACAATGAGTTATGTGAGGTAACAAGCTGGAGCTTCACTTTCTGTTCTGGAGACTGTCATAACTCCAACGGTGCTGCTGCAAATATCTGAATAG